AACCATCGCACTGCTGTAGAAGTAGTGTTTAAACATTCTATCTAACTCGGCTTTAGAGGTCAGAACCAGGTAACGGTAAGCGACGCTCAAACGGCTATACTCGTAAATTACTGAGAAATCGGTACTTCGGTCATTTGCAGGTCAGGTCAACGGTAAGCAGGGCGCGGTAAAATGTACCCTTTGACAGCACTTCTTAATTCACGAGGTCTAGCTCGGCGACAGTCTTAAGATACGGTTATCTAGGGAGTAGACGGATAATAGGAGCAGGATGAGCTTGCGTAAGCGCTTACACTGCAGCTCAGAATATTTCTCGCTTAGGATAATCCCGGGAGAAAGTTTAGATTAAAAGTTTAGCGTTAGTTCTGGTCCATTGGAAGATACTGGATAGCGGCAGGTGGCAAAAAAGTAGCCCCTATACACATATCAAGTGCGCAGAATTTAAGTTGTTTCCATTTGATGTTTCGGAACTTTGCGATTGCTCGCCACATTCGTCATTTATGCATTATTTCTCAAGCGTACCGACTACCGAATATGTTTTGGGACATTTTCTTCGCGCGTACATCGCTTTGATCAAAGGGAGGGATCAAGGCCAGGCAACATACCAATGGACATTTTTGACGGGTCATTAGCGTTAAGCAATGCATAACGTGAAAACGTTGGCATTCGAACACAATCACGTGTGACACAGTGAACAGTCTGATTGCGCTGCTGGCTATTTTGTAGCTATTTAAAGAAAGACAAGTGAGAGGTCATCGATGTCATTGCACAACTTTATTGTTTAGCTGTTGGGTCTAATGAATGGCAATTAAGCCCAGCGACCAAGACGCTATCATCCATTCTCTGATGCTAATCAGCATATTCATGCAACTGGACTGTCACCTGCAAATTATACCCTATCCATGAGACAATGGATTTAAGACAGCCTTTAATACTGTGAAGACGTTGAAGTGAAGACTTGAGCCTTTAGCAATTAAAAATCGTTCTTTTAACGCCGAACCTCACCAGAGATGGGAGGCGGTTGACCTACGTATTCCTTTCGTTAACGCCTTAAGTACTAACTTTTCATTGTTTAATGTTTAGTGCATTATGTTCTACTGCATCTCCATCGAAGGTACTGTTAACCGCAGACGAACAGGGAGGTTGCTACTAACTGAACCCACCCTTCAGTGTTCATTCTATTCCCACTAAAATCACCAGTCATTCTGGCATGGCGCTTGATGACATTCGCCCGTCGCACCTCGGTGCTGATATTCGGAGACCGCCGACTCAGAAACGCGACTGCACCGTCACCGTATTTCTGCACTGAAGACCCCTGGCCGACGCTTTGTGTTCGGCGCCGTGGCAGGAGTGGCCTTGACACATCATGAACGTAGGGAAACCGTCACGCACCAGTGAGCGGCAGCTGTGAGCTTTTGACCACTGAGAGGTCATCCCGGACTGACCGGCCGAAGGCTGCAGCTAAGGCAATTTGGTCTCACAAATCACAGTTTTACGCCATGCACCTCGCGGTGATATGCATATCACCCCGGCGAGGTTGCAGCAGTCACTAATCGAGACACAATATGCTTTTGCTACTGTCCCTAAGTTCAACCTCGGCTGAGATTCAGCTTTTCGCAATATACCAACTACAAATATTTCCCTCTGAGTGATCGAGGGTGTCTTTGATCCGCAGTGCGCCGCCGTGCCGTGTTACTGTTCCCAGTGGTGAAATGACCGGGGCACGAGTCACGGCCGTTACGGGCACAACAGTCGGTGCCGCCGGCACACACCATCGCTGAATAGATGAGACCCAATGGTGGCGGACGGAGGCACAATGGCGTGCGCATCTCAGACCCAATCGATTGGGAAACTGCTGGTAGGTAAGCGAGGTCGAGATCTTACTACGAGATCGCTCAGCAGGTAGTTGAAAGCGCACGAATTTTCGTGAGAAGTGTAAAACGTTGGAGCACGCAGCAAAAGCGATATGCAAAATGGTGTAAGTATAGAATAAAAACGGCCATCTCCTGTTGAATTTCTGTTGAAGGAAGTCGCTTTATACCATTCACAGAAGATCCATAATTAGATGGTCTAGCTAAACCATTATAGGCGCCTCCTGGTTACTCATTTTAGCTACATTCACAAGTCACATTTGAGCGGCGTTCGAGACTGACCTGCTGGGCGAGTCTGAAGAACTCGGCGGCGGCGGTCAGCAGGCCCGCTCGGCGCTCGGCGGCCCCCACCAGCTGCGAGCACCTCTCCAGCACCGTGTAGGCCCGGGTGCGGGGCTGGTCACGGGCGAACGTACCGCTCTGCACCAGACCCTCGGCGGCCCGCAGCAGGTGCAAGCCGCGGTCCTGGATCGACTGGGGAAGAGAGAGAACAACGGCGGTTAGGTGGGAGGAAAGAGAGAGAGAGAGAGAGAGAGAGAGAGAGAGAGAGAGAGAGAGAGAGAGAGAGAGAGAGAGAGAGAGAGAGAGAGAGAGAGAGAGAGAAGGAAGAGATACATACAGACTAGCATACAGACACGACAGATATACAGACACACAGCAGTACAGACAGACAGACAAACAGAGTCACCACTGTTCCTTAGGTTGGGTATATTGGCGTTCCAGCAATGCCTAGCAGAGCTAGCTGGTGGTAGACTACCATATCAACAAAATATGTCAAGACTGAGAATTGTCAGCGACTGAAACGAGATAACGAGTGACGAGAAAAGGCCGGCACGCGTCCGGGTTCGCAGATGAAGTTTCAGAACTTTTACTCAAGTTACACCAGGCAGATTTATTAACATGAAACAGAAATCCTGAGTTTACAACACAGCGGAAGCCGATGCCCTATTGACTGTTGGGAAATCGCACGAACCGGGAGATCGGAGTAATTGAATTTTATAGGTGTAAAATATGGCGCGCGGCCTCTCCTTCCGATATCGCCTCCTCACGCTCTGTCTTAGTTTCTCGGCCTTCCATTTATCATCCCTCTCCGGCGTCCCATCTCGCGATCATGGCGTCTCGCTAAGGAGTGTCGGCGGTGTCGTGCCATAGTGGGCTCTTTCGAAACGGCCGGGTCAGTTCAACCCTTGCCCGCTGCTCGAATGCGAGCTGCTCTCCCCCAGAGAAAGTTCAACAAACAAGATTACATGCCGAAAGAAAGCACGACCATGAGTGGAAAGTCTGCTAACGCTTTAAGTCATTATACAGTGTAAATCATGTTGTTTATGCTATTAACAATCGATTAGCAGCACTTGCATCGCATTTCCAGGGATCAGATGCGAGTATCTGAAACTACGCGACTCGAACATTGCCGAATGACTCGCATTTCTACCGTTCTCTACTCCATCCCAATCATCAAACCGGTCTTACCACGCTCACTGCCAAAATAAACATGTGCACAGCGCTCACTCCACTCCGATCTCATTGTACCGCCAGCCACGGCCTCTGGAGGGCGGAGGGCGGCTTCGAGCGACCACCACCAGCCGGAAGAGAGGGCAGTTTACGCCCAACCAGAACGCAAACGCAATCGGAGAGACAACGGCGGAGCGAACCATCACCAGAGTCTCCGCAGCGCGCGCTTCAAAAGTGAATGTGTCTCGCCGCTGCTCGCAGTGTGCTGTTCCATATCTGGCAGAGGACCTTGAAGACGAGCCGAGCGGTGAGCGGTTTCACCTCTTGCGGAGCGCACCCATGGAAAATCGTCATTTTACCGTAACGGGTTCGTTCGAGAGGTCTGAGACGGTTTATGGACGCACATTTGCATGCTCGCCTGGGGTTGCACGTGGAGGCGTGACTGTGGACATTTCTGATGCGAGTGTCGGAGTCCGTCAGCCCGGTAGCATTGGCAGGGGAGTGGTAGTGCATGGTCACTGGTGAGATGACATGTCACCATTGCACATTGTCCCCAGAAGAAGCCAGCGGGTATGTCACGTGCTATCCAAGAACGTGACTCATACGGCAGACGCTTCAAGCATATCAATGAGCAATGTCATCGAGCATGCATGGATTGTGATGCCAATTAAGATGCGCTTACATAATCGGTAAAAGCGTTTAGTAATGTAGGAAGTAAAGATAAAATGTAAACATGCCTGAGCCGTACCGCTCAATCTGTTTTGACAGCTAAGGCAACTTTTTTTCGATTTTATCACTTTCATCTTTGATACGACACCTTATAAGAGGCACAAATAAATAAAATTGATTATGGATAATTAAATTGTTACGCCCAACCTTACCTATGAACATCACAGCTATTTCGTAGGACTGCAAACAAGTAACGTGTGACCCATATTCGTGATTCTGCCGTTACATACCTTGGCTTCAGTCGAGCCGAGACAGTGCAAGTGGTGCTCCAGCCACACTACAAGCTGGCCGCCTGCCTTTCTACCTTTCTGTCATGTCTGGCCGGAATAATTCAGTGAAGACACCCACACCAATGTGCTCGCATTGCGCCACGAGCGGGGAGCGCCCGCGCCTCGCATCCTGCCTCTGTACGAGAGCCACTTCGCTGCCCGCTCTGTTCTCTTCGCTCTGTGCTGATCTTCAGACCGCGCGGTCACTATAGCACTCAGGGCAACCGCCATTCGTAGCGGCACACCGTGGTCGCTCTTTGACTCGGTTATTTGCCAGTCATCGTACTGCATGGATCTGTCTGACAGACGAGTCGGGGTCACCCGGGCTGTCTGACCCGAGACGGGAAAAGATCGGACAGTCTCACTGGGAGCGTGGCGCTCGCCTTATCGCCTAAACAAATGACCGTGCTCGTAGGGGGGGGGGGGGAGGAGGTGCTAAGGGTAATTTTAAATGACGATCAAATTTGTACATTTGTGTGTTACCTATATATGTGTAGTGTTCAAATATATACATATATGTGTCTTGTTAGTGTTACGTTAGTAACAAAATGCATGGCGAGATAAATGTACCAATCTACGGTAGGATACCTGTCTTAATTTTGACACGTGACATCATAAAAATTAGCACACCTGAAACAGAAGTTCAAAATCATTCGCGGCAATCACAAAATCTAGTAATAGTGGGCATAAATCAATTTTTGTTTACCTTTCCTAGTTATTATTTTTAAGCATATAATGTTTTATTTTGAATGAATATTTATTAGCGGTATAACTCAAAGTCATAAAGAATTACAAGTTGTTATACAGGTTACAAAGGTGCCTTCTTTTGCAGCACTCAATAGCTCAGTTAATTAAATGCATGATACCAAATATTAGTGAGTTACAGCGTGCCCATAAAATTTACAAGACAGCTAGCCGCTAGGCGTACATGATGACTGAATAAGAAGACATGCTTGCTGAAGAAGGAAATCCCAACAAATATCGACCTGTCTTGAAATCCGACGATAGTTGAAGGCTAACTTTCATAACAAGCGCACGCAATATTTTAAATTAAGCATCCGACAATGTTGGTTTTTCGCTGCACCCTGGCTCTGTCTCTCGTGGCCACTGCATTCACCGACTGTCCAGGCTCTCCTTGGAAAGAGTGGAATGGCCACTGCTATCGCCTGTCTGCCTCAACCGCCACCTGGCTCGAGATCCGAGACGTGTGCAAGCATCCGTTCAAACAGGCTGATGTTGCCAGCGTTGGCAGCTGGGAGGAAAATCGTTTCATCCTCGAGAACATCCTCAAACAGCAATCAGCATGGCTGGGCTTGCGCCTTCGCAAAGAGCGACGTTGCTGGACAGATAAGTCGCCAGTGAAATTCATGCATTTCAGAAGCAATGTGCCTTTGGACGACGTCACGGACGCGGTTGTGCAGCTAGCGGGTACTACAGGCCACTGGGAACTGGTCTCCCCCTATGGGGGCAAAAAGCTTCACGCTGTATGCAAAATGCCCTCGTGCGAGTGTAAAGAAGGCTGGGTAAAACAGAAAAACCGCTGCTACAAGCCTATAAAGTGTCCACTCAGGTGGCTGGACGCCCGTGAACGTTGTCAGCGTATGGCGCCTATGGCCGACCTCGCCACAATCAACAGCAGCTCTGAGAATGATTTTCTCGTTAACATGATGTCAAACAAAATGCCGTTCTGGATCGGGCTGAATGACCGTGAACAAGAGGGCGAGTACCAGTGGAGTGGCGCAGGCGGCGAGACGACCCCAGCTTACAGGAACTGGGCGGTGTCCGAGCCAAACGGGGCCAGACACACGGAGGATTGTGTCCAGGTAGGTACATCAGGACAGTGGAGTGACCATAAGTGTCAAGACCAGCCCAAGTCCTATGTTTGCCAGCAGCCCATGTGTGGCAACAGGGCGCATCCTCCACATTCAGGACAAGAAGGTGGAGCGGTGTCTTCCACAGATGGAGGTTCTCCTCGCTGTCCGAATGGGTGGAGGCTCGGTGGAAGCAAGTGTTACAGCAAACCCACTAGTCCCGAGTCGTTTGATCGCGCGGAGGAGTTATGCAAGGAACAACATCCACGATCTCATATTGCAAACGTCACATCTTTGCCAGAAAACGACAAAGTATTCCTCCAGGCATCTGGTTCGCTGCCTGTTTGGATAAGACACTCCGAAAGAGGTTCAAGTAACTGGCAGACGGGCGTCACCGCTGCGTCGTCCGCACGGTGCGCAACACTACAGAGCAGCGGCCAGTGGAGCAGAGAACAGTGCGATGAGAAGCATCCCGGGATATGCGAATTATCATCATGTGTCCCAAAGTGCCCCCAACACTGGTACTTATTTCAAGGTAACTGCTATTTCATCAAGGGCATTGGAACTCTGAAACATGCGACCGAATCCTGCGAGAGCGTCGGCGGCCACCTGCCCAGCATACTGAGCCAAGATGAGAACGACTTCATTACTGCTCTGATATTTCGCTGGCGTCGCAATACGAAGCATGCGAGGACGTCATGCAGACCTTTCGCCTTCATCGGCGCTTCACGCGCAGACAAAACGTCTCCGTGGTCGTGGTCGGATGGCGCAGACTGGGGCACACCGCGTTGGGCCCACGGTGACGGCGATAGGGGCACATGCGCTGCGTTAAACTCCGAAGGACGGTGGAAGAGCTTCGACTGTGAGGCCTACAAGTTGATGTTTTTGTGCAAGAAGGACCCGTGCCGAGATCAGTTTGGACCATTGCATAGTCCCAACCGCGACACTTCTAGCCACTTAACGACCCATCCTGTAGAAACGTTGACCACTGCGGCTCCACGACCCAAACCGAAGATATGTCCAAATGACGGCAGGCATTGGCATGAGGAAAGCGGCGTATGTCTGGCGTCCTTCACGTCAAGTCCTTCCACATTTACGAGCGCTTTTAAGACGTGCACCTACAAGAAGGACGGGTTCGCCGTATCGCTGCCGGTGGTGAGGTTCAAGGACACGCTGGAGGCGCTGCTGAAGCTGACGGGAGGTCGCGACGTCTGGGTGGGGCTCACGCGCCGGTACACGTCCGTCTGGTACTGGCACGACGTGGTGAGGGCGACCGACCTCCAGTGGCAGCTGAAGCCCACTGCCGACACACGGTGCACCTCTATAGATGGCGACATGGGCGGTCTGGTTGCGCGCAGGTGCTCAGACAAACTAATATTCTTCTGCGAGGCGAGACGTCTGCCGAATTGAATGAATTATTATTTCGTCATAAATTGTATTGGCAACGTTTGAGCCAAGTTAAATAACATGTTGTGCCTAATTAACCATTACAACTTTTCTCTTTCACCAGTTATAAATACCTGGCTTCGACGATCATGATATTTAGCTATTCTTAATCAAAATACTCAACAACGGTAGTGTAGAGCAAATCTTGTTTTAAAAAGGTATATGATTGAATGACATGATTTGCGAAATAACGGTTATTAGAAATCAATCTATCGTAGAAATACCTCAAGAAACCAACTACCTTTGATGCAAACAAGTAGAAACGCTGATAAAATGATATCGTATATTCCATTGGGCAACTGTAGAAACATCTATCATGAAATTATAATGCTTTACTCTCGGTTTCGATAAGTTCGCGGGGTTGACTGACAGGTCCAGGCGAGCACTCAGACCACCACCTGCCCATTGTCATTCCGCAGCGCTGCCGCCCGTTCTTCCTGGTCTCGGGGTGGCCGTGTTGCACAAGCAGACCCATAACAGAGGCACGAACGGGGCGGGAGTCTTCTGCAACCCTCGGGCCGCAGATGAGCCAGAGAGAGCGTCAAAAGTCAAACGTAATTGGCGCCGCCACTACCGCCAGTATCGGTCGAGTTGGGCCAACTCGGCGCTAAATATTAGCCCGATGACTGGCGCTCGGCGATTTATTGGAGCTGTGGCGCGCCCGCAAATTGGCCTGTTGCGGTCCGCTTGCGTCAGGGCCTCGCTAACTCATGACAGCAGTTGTGAACGGTTTAGCTTGTCGGGTTAGTGGGTTATGAGCCAGTGCGGAAGTGGTGAAGATGATTTCAGAGGGCATGGCAGGAGTGTGGTTAAATTGGGTGCAAGTTTATTGCCTCGGGGGATGCATATAGCAATATCGAGAGGTGTTAGGAAAGGACGGTAATTCTAGCTGAGAGCGAAGTACGTTTTAATGCATGTACTTTATCTGTATTACTTGCACTGTGCAGATGTTCTACATCCCCGTAATGTAAAATGAGAATGCCTCTGTTACTGCTGGCATTTGGTGACGTGTACATTGTGCAAGCCATTATAAATCCATCATTAGGACAACTTATGACCATTTTGCGTTTAAATTATTATTTACATGTGTCATCGTAATCAAACGTGGTACCTAGTGCTTTGCAAAAAGAGATACGCCATACATAGATAGTAACTATACCAATGACACTACACAGTAAACATGAGGTCATGGAGACTAGCCACCTGTCCAACAGTCGCCCATCGTAAGATGGCCGGTGAATGTCTGTAACGCCGTGCTGGGCTAGCGCTGATTAATGATGTGTCGCCGGGGTCACGTAGTTTGCTGCGGCGGCCACATAGCGGGGCGTCCACCGGCGGGTCGAGTAGGTGAGTGCTTGTGCCGACAATCCGTCACATAGACGGCGGCACAAGGTCGCGGCACTGGGACAGAGGCAGGGGAACAGCTAAAGTAGTGCGACGGGACGATGGTGCAGCTTACCATGTGAATTCAAGCGCAGCAACGCCAAAAAAAAAGAGAAACAAATTTACCGTGGACTTCCATGCGTTAATTGCAAAAATATCTAATCGTTCTAAATACCTTGAAATACTTATCTAATCTTTTATTACGGAGCGAGCGAAGCGAGCGTAGTCTTTCCTTAGATTAACCCGCGCCCTGCTGGGAGGGGGGTGTTTGAACACCCCCCTTGTGGTTTTTCGCGAATATCTCAAAAACGTATCATACATCAATTCTACACATGTTGTGAAAATTTCAGACCAAGGTCATTCAAGGTCAGGTCACCAGGTCACTTGAAGTGACCTCACCTCATAAGAAGTTTCAATGTCTGTCATAGCTACACTGAGTGACCGATCGCTTTGAAATTTTCAGTGATTGCTCAGAGCAATAGCATGCACAAAATTTATATCTCAGAATTTTGATATCGATGACCTAAGGTCAGGTCAATTTTGCGACCTCCCCAATTATAAGTCAATGGGAGAAAATTGAAATGCGCCTCCTTTGGACGAAAGACATTATAAACACTACCAAACACTGAATTACAAGTGGTTTAGACACACTGAACATGAAAATGGTGTCCGTGACCCCTGTTTATGCCCTGAGGTCATCTTAGGTCACGAATGGTATCTAACAGTTTTTCGCAAATAACTTTTGATAGAGGCATGCTAGAGCGATGAAAACGCCTTAGATGTGTTCAGCTCGACGATACGGATCGACTGATATGCAACATGACCCTTTCCGGTCAGGTCATGACCTTGACCTGAGGTCAAATTTTCAAGTTGACCTTTCAAGGTCAAGTTATAGTTCATTCGATGCGTCTTGACGAGAGGAACACGATGCCGGTAAAAGTAAGCTCGTACAAGGCTTGGGTCAAAAGTTATTGCAGAAAAACTGTTTCCGAAAAAAATCGGCTATTTTTGCAGTTTTTGCCCCCTGCAGGCAAAACCGTTGACTTTAGGTCACATCTGAGAGAATTACTCAGAGAGGGCGTTAATAGGGCTATCGAATGCGCTTTTCCGCGGCGCTGTAGCTCTATTGGTTCCCGAGTTATGCGTTGGCTTCTTGGAAATTGTCGACATTCGACCTGGAAATCGGCGAAATTTTGCCTTCAATGACCTCTGGTGACCTGACCTTTGACCTGACCAAAAAATTGACCAAAGTGATTTCCTCATTATTATTGACGCTCTTTCGATCGCCGCCTTCCGCGTATCGCTACGTGGCCCAGGACCCGAGTTAGAAGGGGGGTGTTCAAACACCCCCCCCCCCCCCCAGCAGGGCGTGGAAATCCAGGACCCCCAGCCGGGCGCGGGTTAACGGAAATTTCTGAGTATGAGCGGCCGGCCGGCCGTGCGGACGCTTTTGCGAGGCTTATATCTCAGCAACCACTTGACCGATTTACATGCGGTAATTTTTGTAGGGTAGCTTCATTCCTTCTACCAAGTATTGGACTATTCCCGATGCATGTGGGTGACCCCTTATGCACGTGCCACGTGCAAAACGAAGAGGTGCCAGTTTTGTAATTGTTGCAATATCTCGGTAACTACTGGGCCGATTGCGCTGTAAGTTGGCATGTAGGTAGGCACCCTCTAGGCAATGCATATCCATGTGCCAGCGTTGGGGTGCTGCTGCACGTGCGCACGTGCAGGGGTCGTTTCCAGATCTCGAGAACGGCTGGACCGATTGCGCTCAAATTTGGTACACAGTTAGGGACCGGTTAGCAGGGTGCCGTGCACAAGTAAGTTGGGACCCATTTTGCACGTGCGCACGTGCAGGGTGCCGCTTCCAGATCTCGAGAACGGCTGGGCCGATTGTGCCCAAATTTGGCACATTGATAGAGACCGGTTAGTAGGGTGCCGTGCACAAGTCAATTAGAGGTACCCCCTCGAAATTTCGCACGTGCAAGGTTCACCCTCTCGCTCGCTCCGTTAGTCGCCCCAAAAGGCGTTATACTGGTGGTTATGGACGCAACTTCAACTATATTTATAACTAACTAACTGGCTGATCTGACTATTGACTGCTCTGGTCGGCAGATCCCGACTGACCGATCAGCAGACGCCTTACCGGTCATCAGACCAGTGACCGGTAAGTAGACCTCTGTCCTCTGACCATCTCTGACCATTCGGCAGACGTCCACTGGGTCGGCCCGAAATACCTCACTCGGTACCGCTCGTGATACTCGGACGCGTCGGTAGTTGAGCACTGGTCGGTACCTCGTGTGACAAATGGGGGCGGCCACAGACGTGTGCTCCGACTGGGTTACGGCACACTGAAACGTGCCGGACGGGGTAAGCGATGGACAGGGCGAAAGGAGACGGAGGGCCGTCAATCGCCGCGAGGCACAACTGAGCTATATAGAAACATTACACCATATCACTTATGACTGTGTTATAGAGTGTAAGGTGTACAGACGTAAGACGACGTAAATTACTGTTAAATAAGATTAAAAAACTGTTTAAGATGACCTCGTTGCAATGCCGAGGTAATCTTTTAGATGAATCGTTGAATGACCGTTGAACACACAGTCGTAAATAGGTACACAAAAATAGACTTAACCCTATTCCTGGCGGGCTCCGCCGGGACAAGAAACTGGCGGGGGGGGCGATTCGGCCCCCCTTCAGATCTCAAAAACTACACATCGCAGCGACAAACGGCGAACGGCGTTTGATAGGTCGTTTAAAGATCTACAACTTTTACATAAAACATTTTCAGGTCAGGTCAATATTGAGGTCACCAGAGGTCATCAACGATAAAATGTTTTGGAATTAGTTACCTATATATTCTATAACTTTTAAACTAAGAAACATAGAGACATAAAACCAATACATTTTTGTTGCTCTCGCCGAGGCGATGCGAAATAAGTATGTGATAACCTTCACAGGTCAATTTGAAATTTGACCTGAGGTCAAGGTCAGGTCATTCATCAATGAGGTTGTGGGGTATGGTCATGCTGCATACCAAACGACGCGCCTTGACCAGGCGAGCAGTTTGGTACCACTTACAAGTCTTTAGCACCATCATGTCGTGATTTATTTACAGAAAAACGATTTATGACGTCACATGACCTCAGATGACCTTTGCCGGTGCCCCTGTCAATTAGCGGCACCAGGATCATCGCCGATGAGATAATCTTCCATAATACTGAAAGAATTGGGTGGTTTTGACTCGTTTACACGAAGCAGGAGGCGTTTCAATATTTTCCCATAGGCTTGCAATGTAAAGGTCACGAGTCTGGCCTGACCTCAGGTCACAGATATGAAAATTCTGAGATATACAAATTGCACATACTGGTACCCTAACTAAAGCCTGAAGAGAAGAAATTGATCGGTCAAAAACTCTAGCTCTGGCGTGATTGCAAACTTTTCTGAGGTAGGGTCACCAAACCGCCTCTGGTGACCTGACCTGAGGTCAGATCAACTCAAAATTTTCAGAAATGTTGCGTAAAAGCCTTTTAGTAAAAGTCAGAAAATTTGAGCTTCCTAGCTCAAAGCGTTTGGGAGAAATAACCAAAAAACCTCAGGGGGGCTTCTGAGGCCCCCCCCGCCAGGAATAGGGTTAACGTAAATGAGGTACCTTTAACTTTGTGCTA